TCATGCTGCCTGAAATTTAAACTACTTGGTTTTAGAGAAGGTACTAAATCCTGAAAGAAGAACATATCTCAAATAGTATTAGTATTTTAAAGAAGTATATAGCCTTCAAAATACTTTTCTTTACCCACATATGAATTTTCAGGGTTTTTTCTTTTTCAAAGCAGCACAATGAGGTGTTTATAACAGCTCAGAAAAGAAAGAAATTCCTATATTTCTTGTTAGCTACCTAACACGAATGAGTATTCAGTAAGTTAGTCAACAAGTATATATGGTCCTAATAAGGAGAGAAAGAGACCCTACCCTGGGGACAGGACAGACAGGGAAGAGCAGCAGGAGCTGTGTCTAGGCCTCATGGGCCACCCCTGAGATGACTAATTAAACTCTCCCTTTGTTCACTATTTAAAAAATACAATTCTAGATAAATGCTAGAAATACAAAAAAAGGGGTTAAAACAGACTCTGCCTTCAAGGAACTTATATTTTAATGGAGTGACAACATGTGAATAACTAGATACATTCCATGAAATTGCAGAGTTGAAAGGCACTTCAAAAGGGGAAGGCATTAGCAGCAGAGTTGGTGGGGAGGGGAGTGGGAAAGATTTTCTGTAGAAGATGCGATTTAATCTGAGTCTTGAAAGAAGCCAGGAAAACTAAGAGGGAGAGGTCAAGAGTCAGAGTGCTCCAGGTGTCAGGTACTGCTAGTACAAAGGCATTAATACGGGAGATGAAATGTCATGTTTAAGGTTCTATAAGTAGACAATGGTTTCTGAGTCATAAAGTATGTAGAGGGAATTAACACATAAGCTAACTGAAAAGATAGAAAGAGGCCAGGCAACGAAGAACTTTAAACTCCAAACAAAAGTTAATTCTAGTCATGAAAGGGAACTATTAGAGCTCATTGAGTAGGATCTATGGTTTAGGGGGAAAAAATCACCTTGGCTGCTGAATGGAGGATTGAAGGCACTGTGGAGAAAAAAGACTATTGCAGTCATCATTTATCCAGGGCAGAGGTGATCAGAGCCAGAATTTGGGTTGTGACTGTATGAGTGGAGGTAAGGGGAACAGTGTAAGAGAAATGGCGTAGGCATAGAAATGACAAGATTTAGCAACAGATTGAATGTATTGGGGAAGTTCAAGGGAGATATTAAGAATGTCGCTGAGTTTTCAAACCTTCGTGACTGGAACTGTTATGTCCTCAATAGTAATAGGAAATTTCAGAAAAGTGGAGGACTTTAATAATAATGAGTCCTGGATATGTTGAGGTCGAGATACCTCCTGCATCCTTATAATAATTATAGTAGCCTAGAACTTTTAACTATGTTATTAGAATGTTATTAGGAACATTAGAATGTTATTAGGAATATTAGAATGCCCTTTTAATCACCACAGTTCCTACTCATAGTACGAAAAGCCTTATGAGCTAAAAAAGCTGAAGGACCCTATAGTTGAAGGTAGAGGGGAGAAAAGTAACTTATTATGTGTTCAGAGTTACTACTTAATGTTTCATAGTCTGTTAGGTACAGATAAGAATATTTATAAAGTGCTGAGAGATCCTTGAAAATGATGGTATACAGCCTAACCCAGTGCAACAGATGAACCTTGCACTGTGACCCAGAGGTCAAAAGTACAACATAAAAGATCATTGTATGACAGTACTTGAGCTTCTCTGTATGCCTAGGCCAGATTTATGTAGGTTTGCATTTGCTGAAAGAGAAGGAACTTTTTAAGCATTTAAGATATATTACTACCTTCAGCCTCTGTGAATCAAAAGGTGAGTCAGTGATTGATTGAAAGATACTGTGATCCTAAATCAATTGGAGTGAGTAAAACTTCTTAATATGTAATATGAGCCAAATCAGAGAACTTGGAGACATTAAAAAGATTCTGAATGAATACCAAGGGATCAGGCTTGTTTACCTTGCAGTTCTTTTGTTTACTGCTGTTGGTATCTTCCTGCCCTCAGAAAGTCAAAGCTTCTGGCATTCTGTCAACAAAAAAGGCAGTGATAAATAGAGTGGAGACATAGAGAAGTGGCCAGTGACTAAATAGCTGTTAATTTTGACATCTCCATAATCAATCCATTATGTTAGTGTGAACTAGTGTGCTCTTTAAAACTTCACAGAAATAGGTGGTTCAGTACAAAACTGGCTGCCTCTCACTGCTCTGGTCTCAAAGTTCTATGGGGAAGTCATGAGGAAGGGCAAACAAGTAGAGGGGGCCCAAGTTATGGTCAACAGAGTTGGTCAACTGACACTACTTTATGAGAGAAATATAACTCCTTGTGAATTGAACTTTAGCCCTAGAGGTCAGGCTTCTGGATACGTCTAAGAGTTACCATCCAGTCATTAAACACGTATAATCCATTGCTGAGAATTGTTACACCAGAAACTACACTTGTTTTCCGTCTGACCGCTGGCTGCTTTCATCTTTGTCCTGCAATTTTAGTTGATTTTTCCCCCTTTTCTTTTTCCAAGGGAAAAGGAAGATAAAAGGGTTAGGGTGGTACATGGATACACAAACAAGAATATTTTAAGAGGTCTTTTGTTCAGTGAAGGATATTGGCATTTGTTAGACTTTCAAAATTAAAGATATTCGAGTTAGAGTAATTCATAAATAAAAAAGTCAGTGGAACATTTACTGCTGTTTTGGGTACTAAATAAATACTAACTTATGGTCCTAGGGTCATTTACTTAGAGACATAAGGGACCTTCGACACTATCAAGTTCAGTTCTCTTATTTTATAGACAAATAAAGTGAAGACAAAGAGGCTAAGTTATTTTTCCAGAATCATACAGCTAGTTATTGTCTGAGGCAGGATTTGAATTCTTCTTCTTGACTCTATTAAAAGTCCAGTGCCCTATTTACAAATAGAAAAAGGGCAGCATTTGAAAAGAAACCTTTTTATTATAAATAGTATTTAATGATTTTTTAAAATGTGATTACTTTTTATGATTAAAATGTGATTTGTAAACTTATTCAAGGGATGTAAATGAAATGAACTGTGTTTTGTATTGATGTTGGTATCCTTATGTATTTCCTTGCACATGCTGAATTTTTTCTTTTTCACATTCATTCATGTATACTTTCTCAAAAAGAATTCTTGTAGGGTGCACACCCACACCCCCCCACACACGCCGCATTCAAATATACAATATACATGCGATGTCCCAAAAGACAGTGCGTTTTTAAGCTATTCAATCTATTAAGCTATTAAAGCTTATTAAAGCTAAGATTTTTGGGATACCATATATATACATATATGTATATATGTATATATACATGTATATATGTGTTTGTGTGTATAAAATAGGTATATTATTAAGTAATATGCACACATATATACACATACATATACCATCCCACTTTTGGACTGTTCTAATTTTTATAAATTTTTCTTTAAATGGAGCATAATTATGACTCTCCATAAACTTTACCCACTATTCTAAGCCAAACTCTCCTCCTCAAATCAAGTCTTTCCAAATAGTGATGATAGTATTTATTTATATATCTGTCTCTCTTTTCTATCTGAATATATACATGAATTCATATATTTGAAATGATACATAAGAATATATCATATCAATATATGACATTCACATATGTACACATTTTGTTATATAAAATGTATATATATTCACATACATAACCATTTATGTGAATATATAAACCTGTTCATATATAACTATATATGTGTGTGTGCACCCATGTATATGTGTATATGTATATGTACATGCCTGAAGCAAAATACATAATTACTATTACAAGTATTTGAAAAGACTTGATTTGAAGAGGAGGGTTTTGTCTCAGAGTAGTGAGTAAAGGTTGCAGAGAGGCATATTTAAGATCCATGTTGAGAATGAAAAAGCTTGCTTGTAGTGCTCCAAAAACAGGGATATATATTCTCAGTTTCTATATAACTCTGAAAAGATTTTTCTTTTTATATTTATATGTGTGTATGCATATATATATATACGTGTGCGTATCTATTTTTTAAACCAAATAAAAGCTTCAGATTTCTTCTGCTTCTTAACTTTTGAAGATTTTTCTCCAACTGAGTATATTTGATTGTGAATTATACAAGGAGACTGGAAAGAGTCTTCCTGCTTATTCCCACTTGAGATTTGACAAAAAGCTTTCTATATGAAATAGGTTCCACTAGGGTTAGACGAAGTTGTGCAGAATTCATCCTATGAAGACATTCGTGGCTTCATTAATGTGCAAGTCACTTGGAGAAAAATAATTTAAGTAGTAATTCCTATTCTAGTAAATGACATCAAATTATTTACTCAAAGCATAGTGCCTTTAACTTTTTTTCCATAGATCAAGGAATGGAGAAATCATTCCAATTATGTTGTTATGTAAATTTTAAAGTAACAAATCAATGCTTTTAGGCCAAATTGTTGATGTGTCATAACTACAATATCTGTTTAATTTACTTTTAAAAATTAATGTTTTCATAAGTCATTCAATAACTTCATTTATATATAGTATTCAAGGAATAATAAAACAATAAGCAAATATCCAGTAAAAGGATTTGTTGTTTCCTAAATGTGCTTTTAAAATTTCTAAAATGCCTATTAAGTTAAAGCAAGATAGTAAATTTATAAAGGACTGTATATTCAAGTACATAAGGAGGCATAATTCTAAATAATGTTTAGTTGCTATTATACAAAGAGTCAGACACAACCCAAAATTCCTGAATAAGAACAACAACAACATCTCTTCTGAGACATTACATTCTACCTATTTAGGTGTCTTGCCTTTCATCATGAGAAAATAGCTTTATTGTTGAGGAACTGAACTGTTTTTATTTTTTAGCAGCTTTCCCATATTTTGAACCTCCACAATCCAAGAAGTAAATGTAGAGACTGAACATTTGTAGATGATCTATAACACTTGCAGATCAGATGTTGGAAAGATACATGGTTTCAGCTAGTTAATAGCATCATCACTTTGGATAACCTTTTCCCCATTTTCTTTCTTCTGTTTTTTTTTTTCCAGAACGATGTGGGAGGGCAACGTAGTTTGATAAACAAATGGACAACTTTCCTTAAGGCCAGATTGATTTGCTCAATTCCTGGCAATGATGGAGCCGACACTCATTTTGATGAGCTTCGTAAGTCATATGGATTTGCTTTTTCTCTGTCTTATTAATTTTTACCCTTCCAAAAGAATATGCCTAATTAGAGGGACGAGTTCCATATTTTCCTTCCAGATGACTCAGTCCCTATTCTCCAAGTAATTGATATTTCCTAGTCAGCAATATGCACATATGCTACATGTAATGCCACCAAGAAAATGCCTTTTATTTGTTTTGTGCAGTAAATCATCACCCTGTCTCTGAAAAGCATTTTCTTTGGTTTCTGTGTGAGTCACCACAGAGTTAGAGCAGAGAAAGGGTGATAACTTAGGAAACCCAAAATGACCTTAAACTAATCTTAAGCCAAATAGACTACAGGTTCTTCTGTGAATTGAGTATTCCCATGGTAAAATAGCAGATAAGCCTAGACATTTGTGCTCCCTGGATTCAACTGAGGAATCAGAGAAGCTTAATGTTTCCCACTCAGTTTTATCTTTCCCCTTCCCCAAATTGATCTCAAAATGCTTGGTTAACTAGGCATTTCATCCAGTATCAAGTTCATAACCCCCAACAACTCAGTAGAATTATGAGTGGCGATAGCAGTAAAATATTATTCCCTAGTGGTCACACAGTGTAGTGGTGATGAACTTCCTTGGATTTAGCTTGTCTAGTGCTCTGGCGGAAGTCATAAAATCGGTTACATGTCCAGTATAAAGCTTTTCTAGCTTAATAGAACTTGTCTGAGCTTGGGTTCCATTGGCATAGCCTTTAAGAACCCAGTATCACTTTCTTTGGAAGAATGAGGCATTAGAGGTTTGTATAAAAACAATATAATAATATGAGAGCCAGTTTTGTGAGCACTTTACAATTTGTGAAAAAAAATTCATGCAGGATAATAATTACTGGTTGTTGTCCATTCTCAAAAGAGGACCAAAATGGCATCATTATGTTAGAGTCAAGTTTCATTGTGTCCAACTGTGGCTGATCAGACCAATACGATCTCGGAATGCTCTACCACAGGTTGGGCACACGTAGTCTGTGTTAACATTTGAGGTGGATTCTCTAAATTTGTTTGTGTTTTTTTTGAGCTGTTTCAATTCATAATCTCCAACATATATCAGAATGGGGTGTTGATCTATATTTAGAGGACCTATGTTCAAATTTTGACCTTTTCACTTACTACTTGTGACTTTCCTCTCTATGAGACTTAGTTTCCTTATGTGTAAAACAGAGATGTTAGTCTATCATAGGTTCCCAAAGTGGGCAATACCACCCCCTGGGGGTAGGGTGCTGGAACCATCCACAAAGGCAGTAGTAGCCTCAGGTACAATTGGGGGACACTGAATAAAAATAAAGGGGTAGTGGAAACATAACGAAAGAAGAGAAGAAAATTTTAAAAAATCGTTTGTACATATTTCATTTGTTGTATAACAGTTAAAGTCATAGTGATTACATTATTTTCCAAATAAACACACATAATGCGAGTTATAACCAATCAGTAGTCAAGTCCCCCAACTGGTCTTAACAAGCAAGTGTTGGCAGGTGAGCCTGTTGTGCATTGTTGGTAAGTTCAGCACGCATCAGCAGGAATATGTGCATGTAATGACTTGTTTACAATACAATACTATATGATTACATGATGCAATATTACATCATCAAAATTTCAATGCAGAGAAAAAAACACAAATTTGGAATAAATTATTAAATTTCAGATGTGTCATTTAAAAAAATTCATTTTTTTTAAATGATGCAAATTTCAAAAAATCCATTACAGGGTTAAAGAAAGTAGATTTCCAGGATGGTATTGAGTAATTTTTTTTTTTTGAAAAGGGTGCAGTAGGCCAAATAAGTTGGGAAACCTCTGGTCTAGATGACCTGTAGGTCCCTTTTAGCATTAAATCTATGATCCCATGAACTTTGTCTTACTTGATTACAACATTGACCAAGAATGTTTAGTTTCTGTTATGTACCCACATACAGTACACACTATAGGATATCCCCCAAATCTGAGTCCAGTTTAAGGTTTAGAAGCTACTAAACTTTAAAAATGGACTCTGACTTTGGAGACTCCCTATGATGTATTCACCCATTCACAGCTTTTAAAAAAATTAGAAGACATATTGTTTACATATTTTTATATACTTACTCTATCAAATTATCGTCAAGACCATGCTCACACAAATTGTTACATTAACTATTTTCAGAATGATAATAGAATGCTATATTGGATCACCCAATCATTAATGTCTTTCACTTGTCAAGATAGTCATTGCTTAGCACTTGATTATAATTATATATATATATATATATATATATACATATAATGTGTGTATGTGTGTATACATATATGTATGTATTTGTGTGCCAGTTTTAATCTTTTTGGCATGCTCCATATTCTTAGATAAAAAAAAATAAAATCTCTGAAGTTTTGATATTTTTGCAACTTTGAAAGTAAACCTACTAAATCTTGGAAATATTTTTTTCCCATTTATAGAGGATATTTTTTTACTTCCCACAAAAGATGAAAGAAATCCTGTAGTATATGGAGTCTTTACTACAACCAGGTATGTTCTGGGTAATGTTTCTTCTTAATTATATTTTATAAAATGCAGTTGTAACTTTTACTTTTTTTTTCCTTTTCTGTCCCCATTAATACTTTAAACCTTCCCAGTGGGGCAGGCTGGGTATTTATTTTTATAGTAGCATAAAATTTCATTTCCTAGTAGTATAAAATGATGAACATATAGGTTAAATGAGCTGAACAATCAGGCAGGTGATTAGTGTCAGAAAATGAACTTCAAGCCAAGGTCTTCTGACTTTCAGACTTGTGGATTTTCCACTAGATGGTGCTGGGCTTGGAGTTAAGATGACCTGAGTTTGATTCTCACCTCAGAAACTTTGTAGCTATGTGACCCTGAGCAAGTCACTGAACCGCTCCTTGCCTCAGTTTCCTCAACTGTAAAATGGGTATAATAACAGAGTTGTGAAGATCAAATGAAATAATATTTGTGAAGTGCATAGTACAGTGCCTGATAGACAGAAGGTGTTATATAAATGCTTATTCCCTTCCCTTCTTCCATTTCACCCTTCCCCTCTGCCTATCAAATTAGAGCATAATGTTATTTATTTTTACCTTGACCCTGACATTTGTGACCTTCTCAAAGATTATTTTGTCTTATGTTTTTTGTTTTTTGTTATTATTTAGCTTAGTCATTTTGAGGTACTTTATTTTGTGCATTTTAATCACTCTCTGCCAATCTTTAATCATTTCCTTAGATAATATTTCATCTTTCTGTACTGCTTTGCTGTCAATTGCTTGACATATTTTATTTATTATTGTATGAATTAAGATTTGTTTTTTACACATATCTCTCTTCAACATATTGCCACATACTGCACTTTCATCTGTTATAATACTATAAATTCGGGCAATTACATTAACAAAGTAAAATAACAAAACAAAAGTAAAAATAATCTGTGACAGATTAACATTGGGAACAAGGTCAAATTATAATTATTTATGATATGATGATATGATAGTGTATCCAAAAAAATCAAAATGTTTCAATCAAAAAATTAATGGTGGCAATAAAAGAGTTCAACAAGATCATACAACAAAGATTAACTCCAAAAATGTTCACATTCCTATTATTAAGGTATTTTTAATCATGAAAAAGGAACCCCGTTTGTAATAGAAAAGAAAGCCATGAAATATTTGTCTAGAGTAACTAAAACCAAGGAAGATCTAGATAATCAGTAAGGTATTGAAAATTCATATGTGAGTCACACAAATATAAGCGTATGACAATTCTCACCAAACTAATCTCCATATTTAATGCAATGCCACAGAAAATACCAAGGGATTTCTTCATAAAACTGTACAATTAATAATGTAATATATATGGAAAACACAAAGTAAGACAACAAATAGTGAATGCTTTGGGGTCTTATATTCATTTTGCCTTTCAATAAAATTTGTAATTTAAAAAAATGGTCCTCTGTAGAATATTGTTTTAAAAAGTCTTTATCCCATGTATATTCATCAAGGATGTCTTTCACAAATACATTGATCATTTTCATAAAAATATTGTAGAGTTTAGAAGAAAACATATAGATTAGTAGATGTTAATATCCTGTAAGTCATCTATTTTTATTAATAATAAAGCTCAAGATTTTTTTAAAAGCTTTTGAAACAGTTCCCTAATGCTCTTTTTTGGGGGGAGTGTATTTTGTTTTTCAAATATTTTATTTTTTCCAATTTCAAGTAAATTTTTTCAACATTCTTTTTTTTTTTAATTTTGAGTTTCAAATTCACTGTCTCCTTCCCTCCCTTCTCATTGAGAAGGCAAACAATTTGGTATAGTTCATACATGTGCAGTGATGCAGAACATTTCCATATTTGTCACGTTGTAAATGAAAATACAAACCAAAAAAAAAAAACGCAAGAAAAATAACGAATGTTAAAAAAATATGTTTCAATCTGCATTCAGACTCTACTAGTTCTTTCTGTGGAGGTAGAATATATTTTTCATCGTAAGTCCTTCAGAATTGCCTTCAATCATTGTATTACTGAGAATAGCTAAATCATTCACAATTGATCATCATACAATATTGCTGTTACTGTGGTCACTGTTCTTCTGCTTCTGCTCTTCACTTTATATCACTTCATGTAAGTCTTTCCAGGTTTTTCTGAAAGCACGCTACTCATCATTTCTTATAACACAATAGTATACCATCCCAATCATATAACACTAATTGTTCAACCATTCTCCAATTGATGGACTTCTTTAAAATTTTCAATTCTTTGCCACCACAAAAAGAGCTGCTATAAATATTTTCATACAAATAGGTCCTTTTCCTTTTCCTTTTTTTTTGTCTCTTTGGGATGCAGACCCAGTAGTGCTATTGCTGGATCAAAGGCTATTTATAATTTTTAGTCTCCCTAATGTTCTTAAAATTCTATGATCCTTAAGAGTTTTTCTCTATTTGGCTGGTTCAGCTGTTCTCCCTGATCTCTCACCTCTTTTTTTGATTATGTATAGATATCTTTCCACTTCCTTGTATAGTACATTGGAGATTCTGATTTTAGAGGCCAAATATAAGATTTTTTTTAGGCAATTGGGGTTAAGTGACTTGCCTAGGGTCACACAGCTAGTAAGTGTCAAATGTTTGGTCTGAGGCTGGATTTGAACTTAGGGCCTTCTGACTTTAGGGCTTGCGCTCTATCCACTGCCCCACCTAGCTGCTCCCAAATACAAGATTTTATTATGAAAATCCCTAGAAATTTGTCCATTCTAAATGTTTGTTGTTCTCCCAGTTTCTTCCTTAAATGTCTTCAATATGGTTATACTTACTTAAGTTTTTCCATAGAAGATCCAAGATTTTACTGTACTTATTAACTATGAAAAAGCCTTTGCAAGTAAAATGCAACCTTAAAAGAAAAATAAGGTCGTGATAAAAATAATAGTATTTATATTGCACTTATGATACATTAGGCAGTGTGCTAAGCACTTTACAAAAATGTTATCTCTTTTGATCCATAATAACCCTGAAAGGTAGGTGCTATTATTATTCCCATTTTATAGTTGAGGAAAATCAAGCAGACAAAGATTTAAGGACTTGCCCATGAACAAAACAGGTACTAAGTATCTGAGGCTAGGTTAGAAGAACTCAGGTCTTCCTGACTCTAAACTTCTTATTTCATACACTGTGCCACCTGACTTCCTGTATTACTGGTTCTATGTATATGTCAAATCATACTAAATACTTGGAAAAATATAATCTTTTTAACCCTCATATTACTAAATTTGATGGAGCAATAAAACAAGGAAACATAATAATCAGCAAAGGTGTTTGCTTTTGCCCTGATGTTCATATCAAGAAGGAAGCCCTAGACCTAATGATATTCTCCATTTGCTACTTTTTGTGAATGACATTTTGCCAATTTCATCAATTTCCATGCAATTTATCATCACTCAAAAGAGTTTGATATAATTATCCACACAAGAAAAAATTGATTGATAAGAAACACCTACTATCTTACTCTATCTTTTTGTTGGATAGACTGAAATGGGAAGAAAGAATGAGAGTACTAATACCAGAAATCCAATCAAATATATACAAGATATTAGTGTTTGATGAATACATAGATTTTTTTAATGCAAAGGAAGATGTCATTATTTAACAAGGATGCTTAAGAAATGTTTTTGCCAAATCCTTTAGCAAAGTGGTTTAGAGCTACATCTCAAACTATGTACCTGGGTAAATTTTAGTTATGAGACTAACTGAAACATAAAAGAACTATTTTTTAAATGAAAGAAAATGGAATAACATTTTAATCTTAGATGTGTAGAGAAGCCCTTAAAAAAATCAAACATGCAGGAATTGTTAGGGACAAGATGGATGGGCTTGCTTATTAAAATGAAAAATATCTGTATGGAAAAGTATATGTAATTAGGTAAGTAAAATAATAGATTTGGACAATATTTATGGTTAGTTTTATTGATATAACTTGATTTCTAGATTAAATAAAGAATTATTAAATATCCAAAAAGGTAAATCTCATTCACTAGTCAATAAATGGTTAAATAATATAAATAATTTTCAAAGGAAGAAATATAAATTGTAAATAGTCTAAAATGCTTAATCTTATCAGTAATCAATATGAAAATTAAAACAGCTATGAGGTACCACCCATCAAATTGGCAAAAATAATTGAAAGATCAAAACTCAGTTTTGGTGATGTGGAGAAACAGGTAATTTTCATTTGATGTTCATGAATTTGAAAACTTGCATAAATTATCTAGTCAGTAATTGGGATGTTAATTATAAAATAAAGTTATTCTGTTGGGATTATTTCTTGAAATTGTTACAAAAATCATGTCAAAAAGAGTTATTTGTTCTAAGGTTTTTGTAGCATCACTATTTATTATTGTAATAAAAAAGCTGGAAGAAATCTAAATATCAGATAATAACGGAATAGTTAAAGAAATTGCACATTGGTGGGAATTACAATGCAATTAAAATCAATGTGTTAGGTCAATCAATCAATAAATATGTATTAAGCACCTACTATGTTCCAGGCACTGTGCTAGATGCTGGTCATACCAAAAAAAAAGGCAAAAGAAATCCATGCCCTTATAATCTAAAGGGGGTGGGGAGGGCAACATGCAAATAAATATATGCAAAGCAAGTTATATACAAGATAAATAAGAATCAAGAAAGAGAAGGTGCTAAAATTGAAAAAAATAACAAAGAAATATGAAAAGACATTTAAGCAATAAAGAAAGCAAAAGAAGCACAACCAGAAGATAGTACACACCAAGTATAACCATGTAAAAGGAACAGATGGAAACTCAGAGAAAGTGACTAACAAATTTTCTTCTTTTCTTTTATTGAAATTTATTTGTTTGAATGCAAGAAGTTGCAAATTGAATTTAACTGGCTAGTACTAGTATTTCATATTACATTTGCAATTGAATTTAACTGGCTAGTACTAGTATTTCATATTACATTTGCAATAAATCACTTACTACATGGATTAAGATGCTAACTGAAACCACTACTTTGAACACCAATTTTCTGTTAACGTCTGTAATGATGACCAAGAAATATGAGACCAAAGATCAAATGCCTGCTCAGATGAACTGTCTTAGCCTCAGTTATTTCCCGCTCATACATCCCCATTCACAGAATTTCCTTTGAAGCCATTGTGAGATCTGCACGTAAAGCAGGATATATGTGCCAGGAAAAATTAGCCCCAAGACATATTCTTTTTTTTTTTCCCTAACAAGTTTCTACTAACTCCGAGTCTGGAGTTACAAGGCAATTTGTTCTTGGAATGCTTCATTTTATTTTAAAATGTATTTCTGAAGATCAGTAATATTGAGCTGCATGGATCTTATATCCAACCAGAAGAGTTTTTAATATGTACAAATAGGAGAAAAAGACATTGCCAGTTTATGATGATGTTACTTCATTCCTTCAGTGTAAATTTTTTTCTCCTGCTGTCTGGTTAGTATCATTTTTGCCATGTCTCCCATTAATGTCATCCCATGGATATTAATAGTGGAGCTACCAGTGTTAAAGTGTGATTAACTCATTTGTGTCATGGCAAGATTATATTTCTCTCAACTCATAAAAAGTGATTATTGCCTTTTAGTTACCAGAAGTTTACAATTAAAAGACAATATGGCTTAATTTCAAAGGAAATATGACCTATTATGAAGGCTTGTTACAAATTAGTTTCTTGAGGAAAAATAATATTATCTATTCATTACATCTGTATCTCTCAGTAATATGGACACTTTACCTTTGTGGTAGCTATAAATTTTAATCACAAAGGTAAGGTATCTGTATTACTCAAGCATATTTGATTCATAATATGGTCAGTAAGTTTAGGTCTGATGTTCAGAAACATAAAACAATCATATCACATAATGCAATATAATTTCCTCCTATGAAAAAATCCATACGAAGAAAATCCATTTAATATCTATTTAATGATATGGAATACCCTACTATTAGAAAATGTAATATACAAATATTTAGACTAACAAAAGTAATATGATAAAATGTTATTTATTTTACAAAAAATATGATAAAAGTTTCCTTTATATAGTATGCTTTCTAAGTTAAAATATAAACCTACCATTTAAAATTATAATTAATGCACCAATTCTTAAGGGAATATCTTTTAAACAAAATGAAGACTGTAATGAAGAATTGGTTGATGATGTAAGATAGCAGTGCCATCTAGAAATCTAGAATGCATTCCATCACTTATCATTAATATACTCTTGATATTAATATTGCTATATGATGAGTTAACTATTTTATTTTGTATTGGTCTTGTATTTTTAAAAAATATATATGTATGTGTATATATATATATATATATTATATTTAAAAATCATGATGTTAAAAAGGAAAATAGTAATTCCCTTTATCTCTTTGAATCCCTTAAAGATTCAGACATACATTTATAAGTGAAATGCTTTTTTATTTCAGCTCCATCTTCAAGGGTTCTGCCGTTTGTGTCTATAGCATGGCTGATATCAGAGCAGTTTTCAATGGCCCATATGCTCATAAAGAAAGTGCAGATCATCGGTGGGTCCAGTATGATGGAAGAATTCCTTACCCAAGGCCTGGTACAGTATGTATCCAATTTAATGATAGCTATGCCTTTTTTTTTCCTCTTTCTTTTTTCCCATTTGCTAGGGTTTTTAAATTTTTCTTTCATCATAGTAAAATAAGCATGTAGCATAGCAACATGTGCTGTGGTTTCAGAATAAATAATATCTGAGGAGCATGATCATCTTTTCAATCCTTTGTTTTAGTTCAAGATTCCCCCTACGGATTATCTATCCTACAAAATAATAAATTGCTATTATAAGGAATAAACTTCTCTCTAATACGGGGGGCTTTAGTGTTCTACAAGCTCAATATGGGTTAGCAGTGTACTTTAAGCAGCACTGAACAAGAATGTTGGTGTGATCTTAAGCTACGTTAACAGAAATATGTTGTTCACTAAACTGATGGTAGTCTCCTTGCATTCTTCCTCAGTTAGACCATATATGGAGTGTACTTTTTAATTCAAAGTAGCACATTTTGGGGAAAGTCATCAACAATCTAGAATTCATCCAAAGATCTTACTCTCCCTAGAACAGTGAGAGTTGTTATTCAGTTGTTGCACTTGTGTTCTACTTTTTTTTTTCAGATTTTATTAATTTATTTATTTTTAGTTTTCAACATTCATTTTCACAAGATTTTGAGTTCCAAATTTTCTCCCCATCTCATCCCTCCCCCACCCCAAGATGGCTTGCATTCTGAATATTCCTTCCCTTAATCTGCCTTCCCTTCTATCTCCCCCCCGCCCCATCTTTTCTCATCCCCTTCCCCTTCTATTTTCCTGTAGGGCAGGATAGATTTCTTTACCCCATTGCCTGTATATCTTATTTCCCAATTGCATGTGAAAACAATTTTTAACATTTGTTTTTAAAACTTTGGGTTCCAAATTTTCTCCCTTCCTCCCTCCCCACGCACTCTCGTTGAGAAGGCAAGCAATTCAATACAGGTTATACAGGTTATACATGTATAGTCATGCAAAACACTTCTGTAGTAGTCATATTGTGGAAAACTAACTATATTTCCCTTCATCCTATCCCGCCCCCTGTTTATTCTCTTCTCTCTTTTGACCCTATCCCTCCTTAGAAGTGTTTGCTTCTGATTACCCCCTCCCCCAGTCTGCCCTCCTCTCTGTCATGCCCCCTGCTCTCTTAACCCCTTCACCCTGATTTTCCTGTAGAGTAAGATAGATTTCTATACCCAATTGAGTGTGTATGTTGTTCCCTCCTTAAGTCAAATCTCATAAGAATAAGATTCACTCTTCACTTCCCCTCCACTGTAAAAGCCCTTTCTTGTGTCTGACTCTTTTTTAACCCTATTTTGGGTTTTTCTTGGCAAAGATACTGGAGTGGTTTGATGTTTCCCCCTCCAGCTTATTTTACAGATTAGGATACTGAGGCAAATGGAGTTAAGTGTTTTGACCAGGGTTACACAGCTAATAAGTATCTGAGGCCAAATTTGCAATCAGAGCCTTTCTGACTTCAGGCCCAGTACTCTATTCCCTGTGCCATCTAGCTGCAAGCTCAGAAATTGAAGGTACTCAAAGTCATTCCATTCATATAAGGTTCAGTTGAAGGAATTAGGATTGTTTAGTAGGGAGAAGACTATGGGAAATCTAATTTCTATCCAAAAATATTTGAAGATTTGTCAACCAGAAGAGAGATGAGACTTGTATACTACTTGGTCCATGATAACAGAACTAGGTCTAATGGTAAAAGGAAGATTTCATTCTACTTATGAGAAAAATCTAATAAATGTCCAAAAGTAGAATGAAGTAATATATTCTTCAATACTCAGAATCCTCCAGGTCACTCAAGATAAAAAAAAGATTCACACTTCAAGTAGGGAGCTGGACCAGTGCCCTCTGAGATTCTATACAGCTGAGAGATTATGTCATTCTGTGAAAATGAAGTGCTTATTCATAAATTTGCTAGGCATTCTTTGAACCATTTAATATCATGAAATGGCAAATTTTCTAAATGTTATTATTCATGTGTCAGGGAAGAGATTGATCCTTTCATTTGGTGGATTTATAGATAACTATATTTTTTCATTCTTACATTAGAAATTATAGAGAAATAAACTTATATATGCAAAGACAGAATCCAACAAATAATTCTTCATTGGCTCCTCCCTTGATACTAATTTGTTTTTTTCTTTTTTTTACTTTATTAATTTATTTTGATTTATGAACAATCACTTCCATAAGCTTTTGAGTTTTAAATTTTTCTCCTCCTCCCTCCCCAAAATGACACGCAATCTGATATAGGCTATACATACACATTTCTATTAAACATGTTTTCACATTAGTGATGCTGTAAGTAAGAATTAAAATCAACAGGAGGAACCACCAGAAAGAGGAAACAACACACAACAGAAGAAAAAAAATAGCAAATAGTATGCTTCGATCTCCATTCAAACTCCATAGTTCTTTCTTTGGATGTGGATAGCATTTTCCATCATTGAGGCCTTTGGAGATGTCTTAGATCCTTGCATTGCTGAGAGGGATTAAGTCTATCAATATTAGTCATAGCACAAAGTGGCTATTACTGTGTATGATAATAATTTGTTTTTATATTAAACTTCATCTTGTTTACTGCGCCAAGAGAAATTGAAAGAGGTATAACTTATTATATGTTTAGTACCTTCATGGGTGAAGTAAGAAAAAAAATGTGATTGTCTAGACATTTCCAAATAATCTCTTAATTTTATTTTTAAATGTATTTTATGTATTTTGTTAAATATTGCCCAATTACATGTAAATTTTAACAATCATTTTTTAAACTTTTGAATTCCAAATTATCTTCCTCTTTCCAACTGCACCCTGCTCCTTGAGAAGGAAAGAATTTTGATATCAGTTATACATATAAAGTCATTCAAAATATATTTCCATAACAGCCATGTTAAAAAAGAAAATGCAGACAAAAATAAAGAAAAAAAAGTTTGTTGCATTTTTTATTTAGAATTCATCAGTTTTCTCTCTGGAGGTACATAGCATAGGTCCTTTGGAATTGTCTTGAATCATTTCTTTGATCATAATAGCTAAGTTTTTCAAAGCTGATCTTCCTTACAATGTTGCTGTATGTACAATGTTCTCCTGGTTCTGCTCTTTTCTCTTTACATGAGTTCATAGTTTTTTCCCAGGTTTTTCTGAAGCATCACAATCATATACCACAACTTGTTTAGCCATTCCCCAATTGATAGTGATCTCCTCAATTTCCAGTTCTTTGGAATCTCAAAAAGAGCTGCTATAAATATGTCTGTACAAATAGGTCCTTTTCCCTTTTCTTTGATCTTTTTGGGGCACAGACCTAGTAGTGGTATTGCTGGGTCAAAGTGCTTGCACAATTTTATAGTTCTTTGTGCATAGTTCCAAATTGTTCTACAGAATGATTAGACTAGTTCTCAATTCCACCAATAGTTCGTGTCCCATTTTTTCCACATATCCCCCAACATTTTTTGTTTTCCTTTTCTGTCATATTAGCCAATCTGATAGGTATGACATAGTATCTCAGAGTTGTTTTATTTTGCATTTCTCTAATCAATAGTGATTTAAAGCATTTTTTAATGTGACTATTGATATATTTGATTCTTTCTGAAAACTTCTTGTTCATCTTTTTTGATCGTTTATCAACTTGGGGATTGCTCTTATTTTATAAATTTGGTTTGGTTCCCTATATATTTGAAAAATGAGAGTAAGGAGGAAGGGGGCAGAACCAAGATGGTGGAGTGAAAGCAGTAACTTGCTTGAGCTCTCCCCCAAACACCTCCAAATGCCTGTAAAAATGGCTCTAAACAAATTCTAGAGCAGCAGAACCCAAAAAAAGACAGAGTGAAACAAATTTCCAGTCCAAGACAACCTGGATTGTTGATTGGAAAGGTCTGTTGTGCTGGGCTGGGAGAGGAATACAGTTCAGCATGGGTGCACAGGAAAAGACCAGGCCTCAGGGAACCTGGAGTAGCCCTCAGGGGACTCAATCATGAACAGCTGTGGTGGTTTCCAGACTCCTCAACTCACAAACGCCAAAGATAAGGGGGAGTCGAGTGGCTGATCAGAGGGGATTGCAGGGATCTCTTTGCTGGTGATGAAGCAGAATTCTCTTGCTTTGCCTGTGCTTGGATCTGGGTCACAGTTCTGGGTGGTAATCCTGGGGTGAGGAGGAATACTGGTTGTGGAGCTTGCAGTGGCAGTGGAGAAGGAATCCTCCTCACAGTTCCAAAGCAGAAAAGAACGCTTGTGGTCACTCATAGACCAGAAAATAATCCAGGAAAGGTGTAAACATCTCATCCTTGATTGTACCACATTGGAAGAACTGAAAATTTACAGGTCCCTAGAAACATCTCTGAAAACAGCTGCACAAAACTCCTACAGGTTGGGACAGTACATTCTTCACACTGAAAACAGACCCCTACCTTAAAAAAAAGTTAAAAACTCAAGTAATTGGCAGGGAACATGAGCAAACTGTGCAAAAAACTCGGACCATAGAATCTTTCTTTGGTGACAAAGAAGATCAAAACATACAACCAGAAGAAGACAACAAAATCAAAGCTCCTACATTCAAAGCCTCCAAGAAAAATATGAATTGATCCCAGGCCATGGAAGAGCTCAAAAAGGATTTTGAGAACCAAGTAAAAGAAGTAGAGGAAAAACTAGGAAGAGAAATGATAGTGATGCAAGAAAATCATTAAATCAAATCAGCAGCTTACTAAAGGAGACCCAAAAAGTACTGAAGAAAATAACACTTTAAAAAACAGTCTAACCCAAATGGCAAAAGAGGTCCAAAAATCAATGAGGAGAAGAATGCCTTAAAAAGCAGAATTGACCAAATGGAAAAGGAAGTCCAAAGGCTCAGTGAAGAAAATACTTCCATAAAAATTAGAATGGAACAACTGGAAGCTAGTGACTGCATGAAAAATCAAGACATTGTAAAACAAAACCAAGCAAATGAAAAAGAAATAGAAGACAATGAAAAATGAGGGTTTTATCAGAGAAACTTGCTGCAAAAATTTTATTTCCAGTTTCACTCA